TATCATGTTTTGTAAGGTGGAGGGTCAGAGAAAATGAGGAAGACCACCAACGGGATGGATTGTCTAAGTGGCAGCATCAATGAACTCAAGAGTGGCTACAGTAGTGAGGTTGGCCCAGGATCAGGTAGTGTTTCATTCTACTATGCATAAGGTCACTATGGGTTGGTACTGACTCGATGTCACCTAACAACAACAGTAATATTTGGAACTGACTTGATGGCACGTATATAATGAATATATCTAAAAAGTATTTTCCAGTCACTCTGCTTTAAATGTGTCTTTAAGTTTTCAGCTGTCTTCACAACAATGACTCTTAATTCTGGATGTACATTTGAACTTGCTAAAAGAGTTTTTAAACATATACTGGGCCATCGCACAGTTCAATGAAGTCAGAGTCTGAGAGGATTGCATCCTAGGCAGAGGTATTTTTTGAAAGGATGTCTAACCTGTGTTACAGATTGTTTTATAGACATTGGTATAGATAATTTAGATGATAAATTATTAGTGTGTTTTGATTGAGGAAGAAATTTTGTAGATCAAGTCTGGAGAATTCTCAGGAAGTAGACCTTTATCCTACATTTAAAAAAAATAGTGAATATCTTTTCTCTGTTTCAGGTTAAAGTCATATTGTTGATAATGTGGGTACAACTTAAAAAAAAAAAAAATTCTCCACTTTATCCAAAAGTTGTAATTGACTATCAACTCTGATCTTGTTGGAAGAAAGAGCTTGTATTGCTCAAAATACTGACATTTTATATTGGAAAGGAAAACTAAACTCACCTTCTAAAGATAAGAGTTGAAAACATCAACTAGTGTAATAACTTCCCATGCACATAAGGTGAAATATAAAGTAACCCTTCAGGGAAATCTTCTCTTTTCTTCCCCAAATATACTTAAGAATCACTGAAGATGATATACTTCCAATGTTGGGATATATTACCTCAGCAAACACGAGAACTCTAAAATGCTACTCACTTTTTTCACAGGTGAGTGAGTTTGAAATTGGTGGTATCCAGGAATCACCACTGCACCTGTACTTTGATGGTCCAGCAACGACAAAGCCTTTGGGGCATGTTAGTTCAATCAAGTCACCAATTTTATATACACTCTCAAAGGGTGAGATTGTGATGACTTCCTGGAGAACTGGTTTCAGGCACCCTATTGCTGCAAGGAGAAAACCATTTCAAATATGGAGTTCTGGAACAGAATACTCAAGCAAAGGTAGGCGATGCTATGCAACCAAAGAGCTGATTTCAGTGAGATTTACAATATTCATTAAGATGTATTACCTACTTTTGATCAGAAAACTTGGTTTAGGGATCCCAGGGAATTGCTGGGTGGTGAAAACAATTATTACTAACAAAAATATAAGCACATCCAGAGGAGCCTCAGAACCCAGGCTTATTTGCTATTTGCTTCTGAAAGGTCACAGCTTTCAGCCCTACTCTGCACATTTGAGGTCACTATGAGTCGGAATTGACTCTACAGCAAGTAACAACAAAGATCTCAGGAATACTGTTAGAGAGTCAAATGAGAAATTCTGTTTAGTTTGACATTATCTGAGGTTCTCTTTAAGGGACTCCTTTCAGAAACAATAAACTTTCTATAAAATCTTATCCCCACTTCCAACTTTCCTTACAGTATTGGAACCTTTTCTTTTTAAGAAATTAGTGTCTTCCATCTTCTCTCTAATAGGTTTCCTCAAAAGAGAGTCATATTGTAGGTGACAGAGAGACAGGGCATTCTAATTGTCATTGGTCACAACTCTGCATTATACAGCACAATAATTACTTCTTAGGTCCCCATTTAAGCTTCTTCAAATCTTGTTTTTTTTTTATTTTACTGCTATATGTGTATGTGCTAAGCCTAAAAGCTCAGGAGGGAAAGACCTTTTTTGATAGGAGAGTTTTCTTCATTCTTCCTCAACAAAGACTGTGACTATGCTTCAAAAAGCACTGCCTTAGAGAAAGTTACAGCTCATGAAAATACCCATTAATGATATCTAAAGAGTATCAGTATAATATTCCTGGGACATATCAATCTGTACCAATTTGTACAGCAGGCAAAGCAGATGTCTGTGGTTATATGTGGTTTGCAGACTTCCTGAATTTCTTTTTAAGCACATATTTCACAGCCTTATGAGTATGAGGCAAAAAGACAAGGACAGGGAAACTGAAATATGAAGATATTTTGAAATCTAATTTTAGCTAAGGAGTTCTATTTTTTACTTCACTAAATCTTTTCACTAGAGTTAATGAAAAAAAAAGTTAAATGCACTCATTTAAGGGTATGACTGTTCTATTTATATTGGCCACATTCATTCTTTAGAGTACAGTCACACCAAGTATTTGCCCAGTTTCTCACGTTGGCATTGCACATCTTCTTGCCTCCAAGTCTGATCGGGTAAGCATGTGAAGTACTGATATCCAACTATTTTAAATCCAGTAAAGCATAGAATTTCAACTTCTTCCCCAACTGAGTAGAGTTTCTTTTCATTCTAAAATTAAAGCATAAATATGCAAATTATTAATGTCACGAGCAATGAATTTCAAATACCTTACAGTCATCCTGTTTTCTTTCTATTCCTTCACTGTTGTATCTACACAATTACAGAGTCTTGTCAAATTCTACTTCTAATTATCTCTCAGTTTTTTCCCCTTACATCCTTTTTCATCACCATAACTTTTATTCAGGACATTTGTTATTTTTAGCCAGGACAACTTTCTACTTGGACTCTCTTATCAGTAACTTCCTTTTCTACCCATATTCCATATTGCTGCTCTAAGAGAGAGGCTTTGAATGGATTCTTTCTTAAATCCCTCAAAAGGAATCAACGTGACCAATAACTTTATTTTTGAGTCTAGAAATATAAGAAAAAGAATTGTGCTCTTAACAGGGCTCTGGTGTACAGTGATGGAGACATGGTTGGAATGGGAAAAAGGGGGAAAATAATTTAATTAAAATGCTTGGCTGTCTTCTGAATATTGGTTTCCCTGGCATACCGTGATAAAATAGACACTTGAGGGGCAGAGAAAGGAATAGCCAGAAATATCACCATAGAGAAAGCTTGTAAGCCCGTCTTCTGCCTATAACTGATTGGAATACCTAAAATGAGGCTACAACCTGCCCAGTGATGGAGGCTTCTTGCAGAGCCTCTGCCTTACATAAGACCATAGGTAGAATCCTGAACCTCACCCAGAATCTTCTGAGGCAGGAAATTTCCACTTGAGAGGACAAGCAGACCAGCCTGGAGCAACTAGAACAGAAGATACTTCTTGAAAGAAAGACCGATAGGAAAAAAAAACAAACAAAAAACAATAAAGGCAGTCCAACTGATTACTACAAGAACAAGCAAGTTGTTTGCCCAGGAGACATCAAGGCAAGTGGTTGGGTCACTTCAGGGTAAACCCCCTTCCAACACTAAGAATCAATGGGAATACATGAGCAGATATGTGTTCTGATTGGTGACCATGTTCATCACCGATAAGGGGAACTGAGATAAAAACAGCAAAGAAGCAGCAAGCTAAGCCCTACAATGTTCAATAGACTCCTGTGAACCTGGGTGGAGACTTGGTTGGCCCACAGTGTGGCAAGACTTGGGGACCCTTGGGCCCAGAGCCAGTAACATAGCCACAGAGGACTAGAGTGGAGAGTGAAGTGTCCAGCTGATTAGAAGAGAGGGCCTATGCATAAGAACACCCACACTTGCAGATATTACCCACTTGACCTGGCTTCAATGACTGGGTGATCAAACCTCAACCAGAAAAGAAAGAAGAGGAAAAAAAGAGTAATCTGATACTATTTGGTGAACTTGACCTACACCTATGGATGCAGTAGCTCAAAAAAGGAAACAAATCTTTACAGCAAGGATCATTTCCAGCCCCTCCATACACAAAGTAGACAGGAATGGGCAACTTAGACATTGTCTACTCAAAATGAGGGGTCTGCAAAGGCAAGAAGTGCCTGGCTTACAAGCTTTCAAGAGGGAGCCTAGATCCAGAAGGTGTGGAGGAATCTCCACTGAGTAGTAGCCAATCTGTCTGGGTGGGGCTAATGAAAGGAGATGGGGATAGGGCCCTTGTGGTTCAGTGGTGAATAATTATTATCAGGACTGACTGCAAGGGTTGGAAATGTAAAGGTGGATGTTTTTTAGCAAAAGGGGTGGTGGGGAGTGATTGACTTTGCAGTCCAGGAGCGGAGGTCCCTGGAATCAACAAAGGAGAAGAGCAGAGTTAGGGATCCTACCCAGAGAATCAGTGACACCTGAGATGGAGGCAGAGATGATGACATGAAGAGATGGAGCAGCTGGGGACCCTAGACCCAGAGAGGGAGAGGGGCTGTGTGCTGACAACCGGGGGCCAGGCTTGCAGGGTATACCCTTTGGTTGGTTGATGATGCATGGAGGGGATTGTAACCATGACAATGAAATGATATACAATAGGATGAATGTAAAGGTAATGTTCTCCCATGTAAACGATAACATAATTCACAATAAAACATTAAAAAAAAAAAAAAAGAATTGTATTCTTTTAAACTACCAAGCTTGTGGTATTTTGTTACAGTTGTCATAGGGAGTAAGTACATCACCACATCAGGATGGTCTTAACTTGTGTTTCTCAACCTGTGGCCTACTATTTAAAGAACAGAGAAACTACATACCCAGTAAGTGATGGCTATAAATGGAATAAATAATATATCTCACATACACAACAAATATATAGCATTGATATTGTGACTAACTGACTGAATAATTTAAAAATATTACTTAACTCCCTTAACCTTTTATGATCTGGTATTTTCTCAATTAATGAATATTTAAAGTAAGACTAATGTCTTTTGTAAGGAGCTCTGGTAGTGTAGTGGTTACGAATAGGGCTGTGAATTGCAGGGTCAGAAGTTCGAAACTACCAGCTGTTCCGCAGGAGAAAGATGAGGCTTTCTGCTCCCGTAAAGATTTATAGCCTCGGAAACCCTGTACAGGGTCGCTATGAGTTGGAACCGACTCCACGGCACCTAACAACAACAATAACTGTCTGTGGGAAGAAGTTGCAGGCTAAAGAACAAAGTTATTCTTTCAAGGGTAGTATCTCTACAAAACATTAAAAGGTTCCTTGCACAATGGAAATTAATCAGTAAATGACAAGCCAATTAGTAATGAAAAACAGGAAAGGAGCATATTTTTAAGAAAGATTCTGTTCTGATTCTTTCTCAAAAACATGTAA